CTAAAGCTAGATACTCATTTAAGAGACTACACTGATGGTAATGCTCTGATATTTTGAAGCAAAGTATGACTCTGTGAAGTGTGAATATATTTTAGCCGTTGTTTTCGTTTGTCTTGTTCAGAGCCTACCCTGAAATTATAAGAGCCATAAGCAAAAATAAAATAAAATTTGGGCTTACTAATTAGTGAATTTTTAAAAAAAGTCAAAAAAATAGAAAATGACTCGAGTAAGGCTCAAACCACCTATCTCCTGAGACAGTCTACCACTACACTACTGGATACCTTAAAGAAATATTGGCCGAAATATTATTTATTTATAATAGGGTTACAAGTCCTAACTTATCTCGATTGGGTTCAGGGTCGGCTCTGGTCCATGCATTGTTTCTTATATTAAGTGAAACACACTTTAATGATGGAAAAATGGAAATTGACATAACTATGTATCGTTTTTGCATGTAGCGAAGAAGACGAGCGTGTTTTCTTATAACTCTCATTTGCTTACAGATCGTGTGAATTCGTATCACTTTTCTAGATTGTTGTATATAGCTCTCATTTAATTTCTTACGCGATTGTGAGATCACTATAAACAGAAATGACTAAGGGATACGATACTGTGTGTACGTTAGATATAGATTTAATCAAAGTGCATGTGAATGGATACTTTGTGTGAAATGATTATGTAGATGTATGTATAGACGTCATGAATGATAATCAAGTATCAACGAGAAGTCAAATAATTCGAGTCAACAAACAAAAGAAATGTACCAGTTGCATCCTGCCACGTTGCAGAAAAAAAGTTGGTTTATTCGTTTGTATTTTATAGGGTAAGCTTTAAATATTGCGATATTCTAATTCAGCGTAAATCACATGACTCTCGAAAAAGGATGTAGGTCAAGTAAAATCATATTTTTAATAACAAGATCTCAAAATTTCCCATAAATTAATACATAAAAACTACAATATTTTTCAAGTTTTTTAATCTAGAAGATTTTCTTAAATAGCACATGTCTTCTTTTTATACTACTACTATTTTTTATAACCGTTATCATTTTTCTTCTTCTTTTTTCACACTCAGTATCACATCTATATATAAACTCGTTATATATAGCTCACATCATCTATATATACACCAATTATTAACAGGAACCAACAACAACAAATTTTTAGCAACAAAAAAAAAAACTAACAACAACAAATAAACACAGACCAGAAGATAGAAACAACAAATAAAAAAATAAAACACTTTTCTAAAAAAAAATTAAAAAAACAACACATAAAACAATTAATTAATTTATCACAAACATGTCAAAGCTCATCCTTATCCTCGCCGCACAAATCCTCCTTCTCGCCGCCGTTGCCTCCGCCGGAAACTTCGCAAGAACAATGAATCCGAAACGCATCCAGAAGAAGGAGAAACTCACACATCTCCGAGTCTATTGGCACGACATCCTAAGCGGTCGAAACCCTAGCTCCATTATGATCCACCCGGCGGTTGCAAACTCATCAACCTCCTTCGGATCAATCAGAATGATGGACAACGCACTAACATCTGATGTGCCGATCAACTCTACTGTGGTGGGTCAGGCACAAGGCTTTTATGCAGGAGCGGCTCAACGTGAGCTAGGTTTCTTGATGGCGATGAATTTCGCTTTCAAGGCAGGGAAGTACAATGGAAGCACGATCACGATTCTTGGTCGGAACACGGTGTTCTCGAAAGTTAGGGAAATGCCGGTGGTCGGAGGAAGTGGAGTTTTCCGGTTCGCTAGAGGTTATGTCGAGGCTAGAACCATGTGGTTTGATCAAAAGTCAGGAGATGCTACTGTGGAGTATAACTGTTATGTCATGCATTACTGATATAATTATAATCAAGATTCAAGATTGATGTGTCCTCTATGTAATGTTTACTTGATTTAAAATTACATAAGAGTGACTATATTTTATATTTACTCATTTGTTGATTGATGTTAATATGTTATTAGCGGATGTAACCGAAATCCTTTGAGCAAGAAATTCCAATTTCAACTTTTTCTTCTCCACGTACGCTTCCTTTCAAGCTTTTCCAAAATCTTTAAGATGACCGCGTTGTGGTTATTTGTCTTTTTTTAGTCTTATAACCGTCAGGAGAATAAGACTAAAATTTATCAAAAGATGACTTTGACCTTGTTGCGGTCAGATTCCTCCCACTAAAATCAACAATTCTGAAAATGACTAATTGTTGAGTTAAACTGGGAAACCATTTACCAAGACGATGGTTTGACATTAAACCGGCGAACCGATGATTAACCAGTAGTCCGTTGGGCTTCTAGCAGAGTGAGCTGATCTAGAGGAGGCCCAAGAGCTAACCGACTCAGAAGATAGTCGATTTAGAGCCCTCTGCGAGTAAAGGAAAATTTTAGGAAAAAGGAAGTTTTCCTCATTGTTTT